GACAGAGGCAGCAACGGACGTATTGGTGGTGAAACTGACATTTATTTACTCACACTTGGCGGTGGATTCGCTCTGACTCGTCGCCAAATTATGTAGTGTACTAACATAAAACATTTAAACCATAAATCGACTGACTTTTATTTCCCACAGAGGGTAGATACAAAAATACATTTTAACGACAACGACTACATGACAGACCAGACAAGACTGTCCTTTTTTGGATGTGGCGTCCCCCTCTCTAGGCCAGACACCGAACGGCACTTCACACCACGGATCCATAGATTCACAGAACCAACTTGAGAACAACCTTGGAACTCATGAATGCTTATACTATAATATCTTAACTATAATAATCCAGTACCTTACATTACAGTTATGAGCGTCCATAGATGCATCCTGAAAACAAATTACTAGCTAGTTTTTTTTTTATTTTAATGAGGTGAAAAACATACTTTTTTTTCATTATTAATCAACTAGGTACCTATGAGTTTTCTCATCTTCCTAGGGGAATCAGCATTTTTTGGTAACAAATGCTGAGGAAATAAAAAATATACTGGGTACAGCATCTGCTTTAAAAAACCTAGCAGTACCTGGTATGCCTAAATAATCTGTTGTCAGGAAATGCTCCCCACAAAGCTTGCTGCTTCTATTTGGAGTCCAATTCTCTCTACGAACTGCCTTTATCCATAATTCGAGAATGTCTGGTCTTTTGAATGGAAAGCTGCAACAAATAATATTATTACTCAATATCAATATGGAAGTATTTAACTTTGACAAATAATATAGGTATAGTTTTTGAACATATTCTGAGACTGGGAACATTGTATACCTAACTGGATGATCATTTCAAGAACTATATTTTTCAAAAATCTGAGAACAATATTCAACTTACCCATGGAATGCCCATTCCCTTTTGTTTTGTTCGTTCTTGCATCCAAAGGCGACACAATAAATCACCATTGTTTATCAATATTAATCACAAACCTTCTCAACAATCAGTTCAGTGTTCACAACAACAAATTCAGTCCTTTTGATACAACAAAACACGCCAAATGAATAGATATTTCACCTCGTATTTAGCATAAACGATGACAATGAACTTATGTCTTCACTTTCTTGCCTGTGTAGATGAGAGAAAAAATTCCTAGCTACTTTAATTATTAGATAAAAGAAAATTCATACACCAATCCACCATTAAACAACACGAGTTGGAAGAGGACAGGTATCCGTAAATCATGCTATCTCTGTTGCAGCTGCCCCTGACACACTTTGTGCTATTCGAGAGAGCGGGCGTATCCCCAAAGAATATAGGTTGTATCCCTTCCAGTGGCGGCTCCTCAGAGGAGGCAACGGAGGCTGAGCCTCCTCAGAGATTCTCCTCAAACTGATATTATTTATACTTTCTCATCAAAAGGACACCAAAATACATGGATTTTGATTTTATTTCCTGTTTTTAGGTGAATATTTTCGGATTGACAACAGTGCTTGCCCACGCATCACACGTTGAAGTCTGCAAATCACGCGTGAAATATTCAACTTGGCAACATCTATAGGAGGCTAGACTCCTTCACAATGCGCAACCCACGCGCGCGATGCAAATGCCCGAATACGCCCGAATAGCACGTGTTTGTCGTGTCGCGTCGCGAATTGCGGACAATCCAGCGCGAGTGCATTGTTTATGTTTATGTTAGGTTAATGGTTAGGGGCTCTATAAATTTCTGAAAAATGAGTGTTTTAAACGATTGCGATTTAGTGGAATACTTTTTGGTGAACCCATTACCCAGCAAACACAGATACATCACAGAGATATCGCAGCGATGTAACAATAGTGACCTGCGATATCGCATTCTATGTCGCATAGACGTCGCTGCGATGTCAGGGGGATGTTATTTTGTCCCACTCAAGTTTCATCCATGCGACGTCCCTGCGATAACTTCTCTGCGATATAACAGCGATATATTTTTTGCAATGTAATTGCGATATGTTATTTGTGATGGCAAAGCGAAGTGTTTTCGCGATAAATCTACCAAGTGATGCGATATGACATCGCAGGGATGTATACATATGACATCGCAGGGATGTATACATATGACATTGCAGGGATGTATACATATGACATCGCAGGGATGTAAACCTATGACATTACAGCGATGTACATTTGTAACGCAGATGTGAGGTAATATGTAGGACAAAATGTCAGGGAAGAAAAGTCTGATGAAAAAAATATGAATAAACATTTATTTTCGATATATACAATGAAAAAAACAAAATATGAGAGGTGATTCTGAAACAAAAAATATAAAAGTTATAAAATCCATGTTATTTTCTATCGTTTCTGGACATCACATTTGGACAACATTTAATATATACGCATGTATAATATAATATAAATATTAGCTCTAGTCGAGGCTTTAGTAGAAATTATCACATCATTGTCATCTGCTGCAACTCCTTCCTCAGAAAAAAATTCTGAGAAAGTTTCAGCATCAGCTCTCATGTTCCCTGAAGAATCCATAAATGCACAGGCGGCGTCAGAGACAAATGAATAATTGTTTGGACTACCATGATCGGATATATTCGAAATACCAGATGTTTTCATTATAATTCGTCTTTTATGACGATATGAGAAAGATGAAAAGGAATGCTTTGACATGGTTTCAAGTTCCAAGTGATTCCAATTTCCGAGTGAAAAATGAAAATTTATTTATACTCACCCCGGCTTTTTACTCTACTACTAACAGGAACTGAACAGCGTGCCGGTGCCGTGTGCCGTGAAACGAAACGATGATGAAACGGAAACGACGCTAATAAAATACTTTCAGTGTCAACTGTCAAGTTCCAGTGTCACGACTGTCACGAGTCACGACCAGTGTTGCCACAATCTTCTTTTTGATCGAGGTAGATTCCTTGAACGAAGCGGTGTAGAACAATAATTTCGAAACGAGGTAGCTTCAATCAAATTTGATCAGCGACTTAAGTGAACTATTTCGCTATTGTATTCATCCTGTCTCATAATCGAGCTCAAAAATACATGCGGTACTCTCGCGAGGGTAAAATGATATCGGCAATCTTGGACGGACCTACGGACTATGCGATTTTCCTCCGAATCTGTATTTGCGCCCGGGAAATTCGAATACTGTATTACTCGTACTAAAAAAGTAATAAAAACCTACGAAAAGACGAGATTTGTTCAGATTTTTTTTTTGTATACCTTATACAAATTAGACGCACAACAACTGCACAATCTCATCAAACTGTGTAGATAGAATGATGTAAAATTTCATTTCATTAAAGGTCAATTTCCAATTCTTGGAGTAAGATTAATCTGAATGAAAATTCCCAAAAATATGTAAATTTCAATAATCTGTAGTGAAAATCAATAGGTACTACTATAATAATGATTATTATTATTATTGGTGACCATCTATATTCAGCTACAGCAATAGCACATAATATCCCTCAGAGATATGTCCTATGATATCTAAGAGATGTCATGTCGCAGATGAGTGTACTTCTGTACATCGCAGCGACGCAACATTCGCGATATCGCAGTGTTGCCTCATCATGACATCTTAGAAATATATGTCATATGTCGCAGATGAGTTTGCTTCAGTACATCGCAGCGATGGAACATTCGTAATATCGCTGTGTTGCCTCATCGCGATATCTCAGAGATGCCATGTCGCAGATGTTTGCTGATATACATCGCAGCAATAGAACATTCGTGATATCGCAGTGTTGCCTCATCGCGACATCTCAGAGATGTCATGTCGCAAAAGTGTTTGCTTATGAACATCGCAGCGATGGAACGTTTGTGATATCGCACTGTTACGTAGACGCGGCATCTCAGAGATGTCATGTCGCAGATGTGTTTGCTTATGAACATCGCAGCGATGGAACGTTTGTGATATCGCACTGTTACCTAAACGCGACATCTCAGAGATGTCATGTCACAGATGTGTTGGCTGGGTAAGTGCTTTGTCCTATGAACATAAATTGATTGTGAAAAAAAAAACGTCCGGCACCGGAATTAAAAAATCTGATTGTAACAGGTAACAAACAAAATCGTTCGTTCAATTCTGATAATTATAAAAAATAAATATGGTTGACGGGATCTGAGGCAAGGAATGAGCTATTTTGTTGGTACTGCGTATTATTTTCAACCGATAAGTCATCATGTTATCATGTTGGGGGCGATTAGGATATAATGATTTGAAAAATTTGCCTCTCGGATTGGATAGACACTGCAAATTACAGGAACACATCTCTTCAAGTATTAAGTTCAGGTTAACTGGTAAACAGAATGTCAATAAAGATATTGATTTGGGTGAGTCGAAGAGAGTTGTTTTTCACAATAAATCTCATATCATTCAGCCTCCTCTGTCATGACAGTCACGAGCCGCCACTGATCCCTTCCAGTTGTATTGAGTTCATTGGGATTTATTGACAGTACCGACCAGTTGAAATCCGAATATAGCCAGTGTCATACCTGTCATACACGGAAAAAATATTAAATTTCAGCTCACGGTTTTTTGTCTTCCTTCGCTAGCGTAGCGACGCTACCCGTCGGGAGACAGCACAAACTGGAGCTAAAATCTACAACTCTGTTTCCTTGTATGATAAATAACTATTTTTAAGTTTCTTCCTCCCTGAGAAATGTACTCTTGTTGTTCGGAAGTCTCAAAGCAAAGTGGAATCTGTGTCGCTAGCCGCCTGTGTTCTGTGGTTCTGAGGTTGCTACTTGCTGGTTGGTTTGGTTGTTTTGGTTTGGTTCATTCATTCGTTCATTTTCAATCATTCATTGGATGAAGTTGCAACTGATAAATTTAAAGTTCGAGTTTCCAAACAAAACAGATACTTTCCTTTCTTTCAACAATATCAAAACAAACGTCAAGAGAAAAATTTTTGAGTAGGTATTTGAATTACGTATTACAATATGTCCGAAACTGTAAGTAAATTAACACTTATTTCCTTTCATGTAATAACATAATGTATTGAAGGAAACAGAGTCCTCCATGTCCAAAATATATGAGAGCAATTATATTGGAGACACACCTTATGGAAACTTCTTCAGATCCTATGATGAATCCCTTTCCATCCCTCCAATTCCCAATGAATACAAGTTACCTTATGCCCCTACAATGGTAGACACAATATTCCTTCATAATATATCTATCACTTGTGTAGTAACTTCTTTGTTGATAATCTTCACCATGATTTGCAGGAGTCTCAGATACGTAGACTTAGGTTATCCATGGAGACTTACAGAGAGTTGATGCTTCAAGTCAATAGCTTCCTTTTATGGGAGAAGCCCTGGCATCCCTCAGCCATTGTTGGAGGTAAGTCTCCAAGTAGTTGTAATATATTGGGGTACTTGGGAGTTAATAACTTAGCTATGAACATAATTATGTGTGCCTATTTCTATGGATTTCATGTTTTATTTCTTCAAATTACCAATCATCTTGCCAATCATCAAGGCATAAATATTCTACTACTTGAAAGCTTGTTTTGGGAAAAGTTGCTTGATTAATCAAATATATACACTATATTTCATCACCTCCAAACAGTAATCTTGGGTATTATAAGGGTATTATATAATATTTCAATTAGTGACAAATGGGTTACTTTGGAAATGTTCTTATGGTTTCAAGATTCATCAGATGTAATCCCTCTAATTAGTGTCAGCTTAGGAAGTTGAATCAGAAGTAGATATTTTCTTTGGATATTACCACCATGATTTTTACAGAACAGTCAGAAGATGTATTTAAAATTCTGAACCAAATTTATATGATGATATGAAATTTCAAATTTGTAATGCTGAATCTGATTGTTTAACAAGTTTTCAAACTTCCTGATCAATTTAATATACAGGGTGTCCCTAGACCAGTGGGACAGTTAAATATCTTCTGCACCAATAGGAATTTTCAAAATATTATAATTCCACATCATATCGCATCATGAGTGCTATCTTCAGGAATGACTATATTTTATACGAGGGGCGCAAGGAAGGCTCACAAAATCGAACATACATTTTTTCAAATGGAACACCCTGTATTTCATTGCATTTTCATATTCTCCTTGAAGAGCTGAATTCAACAACCTAGCACACTTGGGGTCTAGCGGGAATGATTTGCGAGATATAGGGTGTGGAAAATCGAGATTTTTCATTTTTGGGAATTTTTTGTGTCAAAACTATTCATTATTGGTCAAAATTGCTCACAAGTCCATATCTTAACTTTTGATTTACTATTCACTCGCATTTAAATTAAACAAATACAGGGTGGTGTAGAATTCTCAGTTTCAGTCGGAATTCCACACCACCCTGTATTTGTTTCAATTAAATACGAGTGAATAGTAAATCAAAAGTTGATATATGGACATGTGAGCCGTTTCGACCAATAATGAATAGTTTTGACACAAAAAATTCCCAAAAATGAAAAATCTCGATTTTCCACACCTTATATCTCGGAAATCATTCCCGCTAGAGACCAAGTGTGCTAGGTCGTTGCATTCAGCTCTTCAAGGAGATTATGAAAATGCAATAAAATACAGGGTGTTCTATTTGAAAAAATTGATGTTCGATTTTGTGAGCCTTTCTTGTGCCACTCGTAGAAAATATAGTCATTCCTGAAGTTAGCACTCATAATGCGATATGATGTGAAATTATAATATTTCGAAAATTCCTATTGGTTCAGGAGATATTCAACTGTCCCACTGGTCTAGGGACACCCTGTATATGTGAAAGTGACAGAATACATTCATTTCTGAAATGTCTGTATAAAGTTATGATTAATTTTCAAGTTTCACAAAGTCCTGAAAGTTTCAAGAAAAGTTCTAGCAGAAATAGTTGAATTGATAGATCAGCCTTATTTGTGGGGTATTTTTTGCATATATCTCATATTTCTTGAAAATATTTTGCCACTGGGGTTTTACCGGAAATATGACGTTTCATAGTTCAAATGGAACAGCCTGTAATTTTTTATCCAGTATTGGGGGCTCATTGATTCTGAGCAAACCTGTATAAGGCATCTTCAATGTTCCAAATAATTCATTCATGTGAAAAGAAAAAAAATAGTCAGTGACATAGTAACAACTGTGTGGCATTGATAAAACATTTTTGAATACTTAATATTGATCCTATGTAGAAGTCCATATTTTTCACTAAGTGGGGTGTAGTGATGAAAGGGTTAGCAAACTCAAAATCATCTCCACCATGTTTAATAATCCATAGATTATTTAGGGGAACATGTTTCAGACAGTCATGTGTCCATCATCAGCCTTAATCCTTACAAACAAAAGGTCTTATAATATGATACAAGTTAACCATGAAAAATATATGAAATAGAGAATTTACTCACTTGGGAATGAAAAAAAAAATATGAAAAAACTTTGAATAAAATTATTGTGCAAAGCACCGGTTAAGGGCCAGGTTAATTGTAAAGGGATCCTGTGCCCCTATGAGGACGTAGATGATCGAGATTCAATGGCAAAACCCATTATTGGAGAAACTGAAATACGGTGGAGTCAAATAATTACTTGAAAACAAACCTACATCATCAGATGATGGAGGACAAGTGGCAGCCTTAGCAATCCACAAAACGCAAGTTCTGTGATGACAAGACACATATGACAGTGACAAATGTCAACTGTTCATAGATAAAGCTTCTGGTCGCCCACTATTCTTCATCCACTCTTTTTAAGAGTTATTTGAATGGCGGAAGTTCAGGACTGTTGGTTCCAGCAGGATGGTGTACCTGCCCATAACTCAAGAGGTGTTAGAGATTATCTCCCACTCAGATTCACAAGAGTGATTAACACATACTCTGAAGTGCCCGGGTCAGATGTGAACCCGCCAGACTTCTTTCTCTGGGGATGTTTTGAGAACTATGTAAATGAGTCAGCCTTCGAAACAGAAGAAGAACAGAGAATACTGGTTCTTGAAGCATTCTAGAGTATAAGAGTAGAAATTCTGAATAATGTTTCAAATTCAGCAGTAAGAATATGATTATGCAGGCTTAGAAAGCGATGGCAATCTTTTTTAACATCTCTTGTGAGTTCATCAGTTTCTTATCTAATAGTTTCAACCTCCAAACAGTTTTTGATCTGTTTGTCTTTTATTTTTTATTGATTAATTGATTATTCACGTATTCTGAAATGCTGATCGATGTTAATGTAGCTTTGTTGAATATTCAATCTGATGAATCAACTTATTTTCACCGAATTATGAAATATTCAGGTCCGTATTTCAAAAATTATTTAAACGCAAACAAACGCATCAAAACCACAATATGTAGCATATCGTCGTAATCAGAACGAAAAGGGCTATTTGAATCTGATATCAAAATATCAGGGCCGTATTTGAAAAAATGAGATTGATGATGGTTACTCAAAGAGGAAACGATGGATTATAATATCGATGATGCCGACAAAACCCCACAAAAAAATTTAATTGAAAATCGAAAAACTCAGTTTTTTGGAAATAAATCAAAAACAGAAAGTCATCAGAGATTTTTGAAAGTCAATTTGTTGGTTCTTCGTCCTTAACTCGCGCAACTTTTCTCCCAATCACAGTGTATGTGATTTCTATGGGCAATAATGATTGCTTGCGCATTTTGGGTCATGGGTGGAATCAACGACATAATCTACTATCTAGACCTCTATTGCTATAAGACAAATGCTCATCCATTTATGAGATTGAACTAGATATCTTACTCTTGATCATATGTCGGAGCACCAATTGATACACGTCGATGTCATGAAGCCAGTTTGGATCCTATTCAGGCGAGCAATTTGGGTGAGATTTTCGGGTTGTTAACAATGAGATTTGTTATAGATAAATGGAATGTGAAGAGCAGAGTTTTCGCATTTCGCAAGTTTTTACGCCTACAAAAATAGTTCATTTTGATACACTAATATTCTATGATGTTATGACTTGTTTATTCATAAATTGATGAATCGAACATTATAGGAATTTACTTTCGTGCGCTCCAAGGGATGAAAAAAGTCTCACGGATAATTATCTTTGTCCTTTCGAGGAGGAAAATATATAATTCAGGTCTTAATATGGACATTTAAAGGTTTTGTTTCATGTTCAACATTGTTTAGATTTGTAGATCTTCAATATTGACTCATAAAATACAAGGTAGTCCATTTGAATCTTGAAAGTTGTTGAAGAGTTTCCAGAAATATTCTCGTGCATTACAAGATCACTGAAATAATTTGGTTTCGACTCGAAAAAAAAAAAAACTATTGAGATAGAGGTTTCTCTCAAAAAAATACTTACCTGGATTGAATAAGTACCTAAATACCCATCTACCGAAGTACTAAATAATATTATTTATTTTAGGATGCACTGTGATATTTATGTTGTTTTGGCTCAGTGAACCAAACATTTTAACCATATTATCTTTACTTGGACTACTGGTAACACTTGGTGATTATGTACTACCTAGCATTGTTTCCTCAATCTTTAAATCAGAATCTTGGAATATTGAGAAACAGAGACAATATGAAGACATTTGTACCAACATCATTCTTTATAAAACCAAGTTCGAATTGTTAGTGACTTCTTATTATAGGATGAGAGTTACAAATCCAAAAATGGTAAGACAATATTTTGACATTTCATTATTTATTTGTAAGTAGTGTTCTGATTTCAATGAAGTTTATCCTTTTCCATCTTGTTGATAGAATAAAGTTGACGTGTACGCTACTGAGCTGTTTCTCAAGTATAACATGTGTTTTTAAAGGTTGGAAATAATGATCACATAAAAATAAAAAAAAATTGATAAAAATAAATTTGAGGAACAATAAAACGAAAACATCAGGAAACACAAACGCTAAAAAGTTCAAACAAAGAATGGTAGATATTGATTATTCTCGAAATTCGTTCGAAATTTGTCTAAAATTATTGTGGACTATTCCAGTCTTGTTCTCGAAAACCAATCAGAATCGACTATTTCCACGGTTTCTTCTGTATTTCAGCGATATTTTTTGTTCACTAAATGTTATCGGACTTGCTTTACCAATACAGAAGCCGAATTGACCCACATGTAACCAACCAACCTTGTTTTCAGCGATACAATTTTTGATTGATTCAAAATGTCAATGTTGTTAGTTGTGAGTGCCTAAAACCAGATTTGCAATTTCCAAAGTGCTGTGCGAGCAACGGTATACCAAAAACACAATGAAATGTTCGGACTTTTTCAGTTTTTGCTCAATATATCAGTGGAGAAAGAGTCTGACCGGTGAAATCACCCTTTGTGTTTTGAAAGTAAACTAAATTTGCAACAATTTGAGAACAAGACTAGCTTTATTCAGCCGTTGGTTCCCAAGATACAGTTTTTCGAAAATAGGCTATTTTGCTCTACATGTGGAATTTCTTCAAAACGGTCACTTATTTTGTGAATTATCTTCTAAAATACGCTTCCCACGTCAAATATATGGAATTGAGTTGTAGTAAATTTAATTAGGTTCGATTTGAGACGGATTGATATCTGTAGGTCCAGCAGTATTCTTCTCTAAAGAGGGAGATAACAAAAAATAAGTGGGCTTTATATTCTAAATTATTCGTACAAACATCATGGTACCTACTATAAGGACAAATTAGATTTACACAAAAAAAATCTAATATGAAATATTATGTAGGTATTGTGTTCTGGTTGCCAAATCATGCCTATCTTTTTATCTTAAATTTTTGGAAAAAATTGCCTAATTTCGATGAACTGTTTCTTGTGCATCATTGGTTGTATAGAGCCCGCTCAAATTAAAGCAAATTTAGTCTACATTAAAAGTATATGGGTTAACTATACCGGCAGACCTTCTTTCACTTAGATATTGAGCAAAAACTGAAAAAAAGTCGGAAAATTTCATGTTTTTTTGGGTACACCGCCGCTCGCACAGCACTTTGGAAATTGCAAATCTGGTTTTTCAATATTGATTTAGGTCCTAACAACTTATGAAAAATTCAGAATGACCGGACCTTTTGCAAGCACGACCCCCTTTTCATGTTTAACTTTACTGGACCATAAACTCTGTTTACATGAATTACAATTTATTTCAGTACTTCGGCTTGACAATCTTTGGTCTTGGTTTTCTTGCGTGGATTGGTGGTACAATAAGTAACTTGTTCCTTACTTACATGGTAGTTCTTGGTATCCTCCTGCTGCCTGGTATGGTCCACAATGGGTTTTTGAATAAAGGTCAGGAATGCTTATCGAGAATCTTTGCCGACCTGGTGGAGAATGCCAAATCGAAAGTTGGCCAGAAGAAGGTGCAATGAGGAGTTCTATTTGAATTAATGTTTCTTTGTTGGTGTTTAACCGATATGGTCAAAGTTGCTCATTGCCTTTTGGCATACTTAGTTATGTTTTTATCGACAAATTTTCAGTGTGATACCTCTAGACTGATGTTATTGTATTAATAAAATGTAACTAGTTTTATATGAAATAAAAATGCTTTTTAAAAAAGAAATGTGTTTGCCGCCGTATTTGGTGGGCTGATAGGAGTAATAGTCCTGATGGAATTCCACCCATTATCCTCAAAAAATGTGCACCAGAATTAACACCGATTCTCTGCAAGTTGTTTACCGCCTCGTACAGGTGGGTATTTTTCCATCATGCTGTTATCAGTAATCTCCATAGTGATGGAGAAAGCCATCAATATTTAGCTTACCAAATATCTGGAGAGCTCAGAAATCATCAATGTTAGACAATACGGCTTTCGCTACCGATGATCTACTGGAGATCTATTTGCCTACGTCACCCATTAATGACAAGCTTCATTAGAAAAACACGGGGAATCTCTAGCTGTCGCGTTGGACATATCGAAAGCATTTGACCGTGTTTGGCACGAAGGACTCCTCCACAAACTACCATCATACGGCTTACCACCTCAGCTAAGCCATCTCTTATCGAGTTTTCTTTCAGGCAGATCGCTTCATAGTACCCTCCATACTACGTTCTCTTCCAGAATTCCCATTTCTTCCCAGGAAATTAAGAACTCACGGCGCAGGCAGGTCAATGCTGTCAATGAAGGCCTTGCTGAAATCTCGGCATGGGGAACCAACAACCTAGTTGAATTCAACGCCACCAAAACTCAAGCCTCTATTTTCTCTAGAAAGGCGGAACTCAGTATGCCCGACATTGTAATGTCTGGCACCACCAAGCCCACCATATCTATGCTCGGTATTTCCATCAGCAACACTCTTTCATGGGATAATCATGTCAGATCCATCGCAAAAGCTGCTTCACAAAAACTCGGATTCTTGTTCCTTGCGAAAAGCTACTTTACACCTCAATAACAGCTTCTCATGATCTACAAAGCGCAGATACTGTTCCCACATATGGGGTTCAGCACCAAAACATACACTGATGCTCTTAGATTCCATCCAGAGAAGAGCGATTCGCCTGGTGGGTGACGCCACACTCACTCACTCTTTGACATCATTGGAACACCGTAGAAAGTTCGGCGACCTTCCACTTTTCTATCGATACTTCCACGGGAAATGTTCTTCGGAAATCTCTGACGAACTAGACAAGTCCAGTCAGCACATCCTTTCGTTGTCAACCTCGAAAGATGTATAACAGCACTTTATCAAAATTCCTTCGTCCATAGAACGGCTAGGCTCTGGAATTCATTGCCTGAGGAAGTATTCCCAACAACATATAACCTCTAGAAGTTCAAAACAAATTCCAATACCCACCTCCTATCCCTAATCCTCCCTAGGAACGCACGATGTTCTTTGAACATAAAAAAAAGTCATTGCTTCTCCTCTATGTCTTCATCCAAAATGATGCATGAACTTCGATGATACTTCGACTATCGCTTCAATGGACTTGACTTAGTTATTTCAAATGGAACACCCTGTTTACTTCAGTAAATGCATCCCTATTTTTATTTTATTTCATGAGATGTTGATCGTATTTGTTATGTCAATGTTCTGTATTATACTAGAGAGTGAGAGATTATAGTTATTTATGTAATACCCTAATGATCACTGGATTGATACGTGGTGAGATGCAATATTCATTTTCTTTTTTGATTACATGAGATACACAATTCCTCCATATATGTCACTCTCGTTAATCACATCAACTACTGTCCTGATGGTGGTTAAAACTGACTCGCCAAATTGCGGTGATTGGTTATTTTTATACGTACTTTGCTTTTAATAGCAGCCCAGACCATCTCAATGAAGTTAAAAACACAGTAATATGGGGGCATACTTAAGACAGTATGGCCGTGTGCTCCAAAAAGTTCATCAACTACATATTCCTTCGGGAAATTTTGTTTCCTGATGATTTCCAGTAATTTTCCTTCAGTTTTGTAGGACATATTTCCATGCCTTTTTTCTCCTTAAATTGAATAATGTTAGCCTTCTTCGTGTTGGTGCTCGGTATTTCCGTTTGTTGACGTGAATGGTATGTCGCATTATCCATAACGATGACTTGATTCTCTGGAATATTTGGTATAAGCTGCTGCTCTGCTCATTTTTCAAATAATTCTGCCGTCATATCCTCGTGATAATCGGCAGAGGATTGCTTGATATATTTGGCAGACAACAACAATGCATTGTCAACAAATCCCTTTTCATTGCCGGCGTGAAGTATTATAATTCTTTTGCTTCTCGAACTCGGACCACTCACATTACAGTTTTTGCTATCATCTACCCAACCATATTGAACGTCATGAGTATCGAACCACGTTTCATCTAGATAAATGGTAGGTCTATTCGCTTCACGGTATTCCTTTATTTTAGGTAGATATTCTTGCCGATGGTCTACGATGCGTCTTGATTACATAATCACCATCATTTTGTCTAATTTTTCATCACCCGCAGTCTAGTAAAACATTTCGCAACGTACTTAACGATTTGTAATTATAATCCGCGTATTCATTCAACTTATCCCTGATATCTGGCAATGTTGGCACCTTTTTCTCATTGTAAAATCTATATCGACGAATTACTTCTTTCGAAGCATCATCAAGCTTCTCGAGTTTTTGTCCCACTCTTTTTCGTTTAACTTTATGATCTATAACATCTCCGGTTCTAATAACTCTGTATATGAGCCTAGTTACTTTAGCAATAAAGTTCAGCAATATTTTTTATTTTTTCCGTTACGCATTCTGCGATAACAATTTTCCAGTATGTTTATTGAGGATACTCAAGGAAGAAATGTACTAATCGAAACAGATTTTCCGGATGTCCAGGGCCGGACAGGGGCCAGCAATATTTTATAACTTTCTTATTAGGGATCCTGCCACTTACATATTTCCGTATGTCATTCGGAAAGACAAAACGAAGAAATGTACAGTATCAGAATATTTAATCCGGGCGTCCAGGGCCGGACAGGGGCCAGCAATATTTTATAACTTTCTTATTAGGGATCCTGCCACTTACATATTTCAGTATATCATTGAGAAAGACAAAACGAGGAAATGTACAGTATCAGAATATTTAATCCGGGCGTCCAGGGCCGGACAGGGGCCAGCAATATTTTATAACTTTCTTATTAGGGATCCTGCCACTTACATATTTCAGTATGTTATTCAGAAAGATAAAACGAAGAAATGTACAGTATCAGAATATTTAATCCGGTCGTCCAGGGCCGGACAGGGGCCAGCAATATTTTATAACTTTCTTATTAGGGATCCTGCCACTTACATACTTCAGTATGTCATTCAGAAAGACAAAACGAGGAAATTTACAGTATCAGAATATTTAATCCGGGCGTCCAGGGCCGGACAGGGGCCAGCAATATTTTATAACTTTCTTATTAGGGATCCTGCCACCAGGCGCGTGCCTAGGGTAATTTCATGGGGGGGGGTAATCACCCATTTCAGGACCAATATTTCCTACGTTTTAAAAAGTTAAACTTCAGTAACACTAAGGCATTCATATTTAATTCTTAAAAAAAATTAACAAAATGTTCTTTAAAACAATAGCTCGAATATGAGAGAGTGTAAAAATTTCTTATTCGGCGTATTCCCGACTATTTCATTTCAAGTATATAATGTATTTACATAAGCACCTGCTTCGTGAATTCGGCCGTCGTTGTGTCGGCGAACAATAACAAATAAAAACCCAGTTCATTCAACACTCAACTCCATAATGCGCCACCCTGATTGCGAAATTTATAATTTAATGTTGTGACTAGAAGCCTGAAGACTAGAAGACAGGTGTGAAAGCCCATCGTTGTGTCTTCATCATCATCATTTTTTAAGTTTGAAAATAAGGAATGTTCAAATTTTTTCATCATCATCGTGGTCATGGGGGGGGGGGTAATTACCCCATTACCCCCCCCTCAGGCACGCGCCTGCCTGCCACTTACATATTTCAGTTTTTTATTCAGAAAGACAAAACGAAGAAATGTACAGTATCAGAATATTTAATCCGGGCGTCCAGGGCCGGACAGGGGCCAGCAATATTTTATAACTCTCTTATTAGGGATCTTGCCACTTACATATTTCAGTATGTCATTCAGAAAGACAAAACGAAGAAATGTACAGTATCAGAATATTTAATCCAAGCGTCAAGGGCCGGACAGGGGCCAGCAATATTTTATAACTTTCTTATTAGGGATCCTGCCACTTACATATTTCAGTTTTTTATTCAGAAAGACAAAACGAAGAAATGTACAGTATCAGAATATTTAATCCGGGCGTCCAGGGGCCAGCAATATTTTATAACTCTCTTATTAGGGATCCTGCCACTTACATATTTTAGTATGTCATTCAGAAAGACAAAACGAAGAAATGTACAGTATCAGAATATTTAATCCGGGCGTCCAGGGCCGGACGCATATTCATATGTTACAGACACAACTAGCCACTTCGGAAAGCCGAACGATTTCATTTAAGTTACAGACGTAACTTATGGATTCCGTCGGTAACTTATGCCTAGATGAAGCAACGCTGTACATTTTATTATGTATTTATTAATATAGTTTTTTCTGCGAATTTGAGGAAGGTAAATATCCTTCCTGCACAAGACCTAACTCGGCCGAAAGAACCTTTATTTACCTTCCTCAAATTCGCAGAAAAAACTATATTAATAAATACATAATAAAATGTACAGGCATAAGTTACCGACGGAATCCATAAGTTACGTCTGTAATTTAAATGAAATCGTTCGGCTTTCCGAAGTGGCTAGTTGTGTCTGTAACATATGAATATGCGGGCCGGACAGGGGCCAGCAATGATTTATAACTCCCTTATATTAGGGATCCTGCCACTTACATATTTCAGTATGTCATTCGGAAAGACAAAACGAGGAAATTT